GGGGGGGGGGGGGGGGGGGGGGGGGGGGGGGGGGGGGGGGGGGGGGGGGGGGGGGGGGGGGGGGGGGCTGCCCAACCACATATGGGCGCGGACGAAAGGTTGTGTGTAGCACCACCAGATGGATTCGAAGTCGGCTATATGGTACTGTCTCCATTTCGCACGAATCGGGGGGGCGATTGTCGGTCCCTTACAACCATGCTTGGGTAAGACGTTGGCAGTGCCCACGTACGACTTTTTAGAGGCTCAAATTTCGACTCTCCGCCACGACGTTCCTAGAGGTTGTTCCAACACTGAACGTCTGCGTAATTCGGCCCCCTTTCAATGTTCCCCAGGGGCTACGATGGATGCGGCACCGAGAGCGCGGTCGAGCCGCGCGCCCTCACCCCGAGTTCGTGCCTGTTGACATAGCAGCAGTACTCCCCGCGGGGTGCAGAGAGAACTCCTCCATACCCGAGGGCAGTAAAATTGGAGTTGCTAGCGGGGGGGAAGACTGGGAGAAGGGAGCGAGGCCCGATGTATCGCTGCCGTCGCCGACCGCGGGCGGCAGACTTTGGATTAACGTGGTGGATGGCATGGTGTGGCCGAGCGCACCCGCGCCGTGTTCGGAGGTTAGGGGAGGGATGCTGTGCGACGAGCCTGGGTTGGGCAAGACCATCACGGTGCTGGCGCTGCTCCTACGGACGAGAGGCATGCTGCCAGGTGGGACTGTTGGGGGAAACGTAACCAAGGCATCAGTATTTGGGATGGCTTGCTTTTGTGGTGGTAAGTCGGTGGGAACACGTTCCCACCGGAATGTCGGACAAAAATCGGATCACCCTGCCGAGGCCTCCTGCGCGTTTTGAGTGGTGCGGCCCTCTCACGAGTGGTCTGTCTCCGCGAAGAAACGCTTTTTGTGGGTTGTCTCGACTGTTGTTAGCCTGGGTTAGGACTTCTCAGGAAGGAGCTCCGTATTTGCGCAGTGTTGACGTCAAGGGGTTCAACACGCCTGCCGCCAATGTACGGAAATATCCCACTCTTTTTTTCCCCACGCGCCTGCCGCGCAAGTCACAAAATGCCGCAAATCTAAAGATATGCCGTCGAGGGACCCTGCCTGCTACCTCCAATCGAATGCTGTGCCTCCGAATAGCTGGAAACACCGCCCGGGGCCTCTTCCTGCGTGCTGTTGACCAAGCCTTGCCTAACGGCGTGCTCCCTCTCGGGGTTTCTATATAAGTGCGAGGCGCGTGTTTTGGCTGTTGTTGACTTAGGGGCCATCCCGCACCGCCCCCTCTATTGTACGAACACCGCTTTCTTGTTTGATGTGTGGTAGGGACTGTCCCACGCCCTCTTGGGGTTTCCTCGAGCACGAGATCGGGTGGCGTTAGTGCCGAGGAGCAGTGGCGAAATTGGGGCAGCTTGGAGCGACAGGGGGCCATGATGAAAGTGGTTCGGGCCTTGCAGATCAGCGACCCCGCGGGAATGTTCAGCCGTGTGCTGGACGAGGAGACTCTTGAGGTATGGCACCGCGTTCGTGTCGTGCGGTATCCCTCCGGTTTTGATGCCGCTTGGGTACCAAGAGTCGTTACAATACACCCTTACCGAATGTCTCGGTTACTCTCCAGCAAGTCTAGCGGCGGTTGCGAAAGTGGCGGGAGGCGTTGGAACCGTCCCGTCGAGAACTTTCCGAAAACGTTTCATCATTTGATACACCATCTTCGTGGAGCAATCGGGCTTTGAAAATCGGTCCAGGGAGTTTGGCATCTTGTGTCATGCAACTACGGTATGAGCGATGCCGTTTTCCCCGTTTTTGGACGGTAGTGGTTGCCTGTGCCACTGGGGGTATGTATGAGCTAAGGCCTCGGTTCCCGCACTATCGAATATTGCAGCAATGGACGATTCCTCGAAGCTATAAAAAGGTAACAACCGACGTGATCTGGTCGCCTGTTGCCGTACTTGCCAGCACAAAGACGTGCGGTAGGGGGAGACATGACTAGAACTGCAGTGTCATATTGCCGGCGTCATCATGCTTCCCGGTTGCTCGCCCTCACTCGGTGGCGACGTTTGCAGGAACTAGGCATGCTGGACTACGTCGCCGTGGTTGGTGAACCGATCGACCTCCAGACCATCGCAAGGCAAGAGAGAAGCGCTACATCGCTTCGCACAGAGGTAGCGGTCGGTGCGTTGATGCCGCATCGTGCGAAAGGTTCGGCAGGCCTTATGCAAGGGGCCGCTACTGCTCCGTTGCGAAAGAATGCCGCTGCTGCTTGCGGTTTATTTTGCTTCGGAGTGCGGCAGGTTGAGCAGCTGCTTCTATCGTGCTTGAAGGCGTGGCCGGCTGCCTGTCGCCTATGCTGGCTGGACGCTCCTAGCAGGCGCTGATGGTCCACGACTTGAGCAAGTCTCGTGGCATCCCCCCCTCTCGTTCAACCCACTCTTAGCGTCGCTGTTCAACCTCTCTGAAACTAGAAGACACGTGCTTTGCTTTCTTTTTCGACCGCGAACGGGCGAGCGTCGGGGGGGGGGGGGGGGGGGGGGG